GGGGTCAGAAGTTCTAAGATGGAGGAAAGTGGGCTGATCCTGATCTTCCTTCTTCTTCCTTGCCTCCATGTTCTTGGTGATGCTGGCACTCACAGATTGGTTTAGAGTAGAAAAGCACTTTGTAATACAGGTAGTAGGTATTGGGGGAAAACTGTAAACATGTAACACGTAATGTACCATATAAAAGATAGAAAAGCACCATTTAATATAGGTAATAGGCATTGGGGAAAAACTGTAACCATGTAACACGTAATGTACCATATAAAAGATAGAAAAACACCATTTAATATAGGTAATAGGTATTGAGGAAAAACTGTAAACATGTAACATGTAATGTACCATATAAAAGACAGCAGCAGCCCTGGGAGGGGGGAGAGAAGAAGAAGACACAGTCAGAGAGGATGTCAGGATGTGTGTGTGCCTCTGCCTGAGCTGCTGAGCAATCCACAGCAGCCCGAGAAGAAAATCTTTTAGATAACTCACAATAAACTGCCTTGAGACTGAACAACAGAGACTGCTGAGCCTTTCTTTGGAAGGAGGGTTGGAGGAGAGACTTTTCCACCACACAAGACCCCAGACCAAGCCCGGGGTTCTCACACCAAACCTCCCCATCCCCTCGCACAGCGATCACAAATCTTCCACTCCCCCTGCCTCTGTGTGCTGCTGCGGGGTGAGAGAAACAAATATTCCCCCTGGTTGGTTTGGTTATTAAGACCTGAAAACTTAATGGCAACAGCATTTCCCAAGTGGTGGTTGTGAATAATAAATTGTCTAGACTTGGGCTGTCCCTACAGTGTATTGCTTATGGAGTGCAGAGTGCACTTCCTGCAAGGATTTCAGTACAGAAAAATCATCCTCTGCTGTAAGAAGTCCATTTAGTCTTTGCTAAAAGTCTGTAATTATTTTGCTCACTTTGGTATTTTTTAAAAATCCCACTGTTGGTGCAGCAGTCTGTGCCCCTGACATGTGTTTGTGATCCAAATCCTCATCCCTGTGCTCCATGTCCTTGGGAGGAGTTTGTGCCTTGGACTGTTGCTGCAGAGCCGGAAAGTTGGGCTGTCTGAGGCTCAGAGACATGATTTCCCCTGGTTTGGGAATGAAGGATTAAAAGAGACAAATCCCCAAAACTGCCAAACATGGAGTTGACTGAACACCACGACACAATAATTCCCTTTTTCGGAGTGGGGTGTGAGATCTGGAGATGCTGTAGACAGAGGCTGCTCCTCTGTAAATCCCACCAAACCCTGAGTTGCATCATGAAGATGCTGTTTCCAAAATCACAACCTGCCAGGGGCTGTCCCAGCCCAGCAATGCCAGGCAGGAGGCCTGGCTTTTCCCATGTTCTTCATCTCCAACTGGAGCTGCTCCCCTCTGACCCTGAGCTGTGCTGGGAACCCGTGGGATTGCTGTGAGCTGAGGAACACCCCCAGGGGATCCAGGAAAGGATCCAGCCACCCCAAGATTGTCATTCTAGGTTGGCATCCATGACAATCCATAAATCAGAGCAGCTGGAGCACCTCCACCCTGGGGAATTGCTGCTGGGCCTTTCTGCTCCTGGTTTACGGGTGATGGTTTCAGCCCACGTGTAATTTACTCCACACACAGTTTGCACAGAAGCTGCTACTGCTTGTGATACCAATAGTCAGCCTCCTAAGCCACCTGATCCATGATTTTCCACGGAGGAAAACCCAGTGTGCTGCAACGGAGCAACAGGTCTTCAGGAGGGTGGACTACCAGCAAAGAGTGTGGAAACACAGAATTTCTGTGTCATGCAGATTTAAAAAGCAGCGCCCTGTACCTCTGTGGCTGTGCTTCCAGCACACATCTCCATGGCTCGCACCAATTTTAGAGCATTTTTATTTTAGGCCATTTCCTACGTTCATGCCAGCCTGTCTCCCAGATGCCATTGACGGCGTTTTTAAAGAAATAATTACGATTTTTAATGTTTTTTTTTCTTCTTCCCTGTGCCTTCCTGAAATGGTTTAAAATCTTTCTGACAAGCCCTCTTGAGACACCTATTTAGTGTCAAAGAGCATAACGTTCCCAAGTTTTAAAAGGGTCTTCGCATAATACTGATCGATCAATGCGCTCCTTGGGAAAATAGCTCTCCAGATGGTCCATCGGGACAGGAATTGCTGGTCCTCACAATGCGGAGCCAAAAAGCGTCACTAATGTGGGCTGTTGTGAGGCACGCTTCCTTTGTGGGCCTCTGAATGCCCTAAATAGGGAAGAAAGTGTGGGAAACTCCGAGAAACTCAGGCCCACACTCTGAGGTTAATAGGGGCTTTGTCAGCAGAGTATTCCTGAGCTGTGGGATCAGCATAATAAACAACATCTTCCCTAAGGGTGGGAATGTGTTGGGAGCAGGGGAGAGTCACCCCAGGGGCCGGAGGAGCCCTAAGAAGCTTTGTGTTCAATTATGAGAAGTGATAATAATTAATAAATTGTAAACATAACCTTTGCTGCGCGGGGGCCGGGCAGGCCGGAGGTCTGGCTTTTAGCTCTGGGGTAATTGGTAAATTAAAGCCCAGAGGGGCAAGTCGGAGCTTGATGGAAAGCAGAAGGGGAGCACTTGCACCATGGTGGGTCTGACTCCTTGGAGCACAAAAAGCAGCTTTTCCCGTGGGGTTTGGTGCCTTCCCACTGCCCAGGGAGGAGGCATTCACTGTTTCTCTCCCTTACACTCTTTTTTTGACACAACCTGCAGAGGTGCTGCCAGCTGTGAACCTCAAACGTGCTTTCCTTGGGTGGAATCCCACCCCCAGAAGAGCAGCAGCCTGTTGGTGCCACGTGTGGCCGTGTTCCCAGCAGTGCACATCAGGCTGGGCTGGGCTTTGGGGCACATGGCACTCCAGCTGAGCCTCAGCTCCCCCAAACTGCCCTAATTAGGCTTGATTTAAAATCCCCCAGGCATGGACAACAGCTGGAGTTGTGCTGGGATTCAGAAGCCTGTGCTAATTGGCAAGGACAAGTTGAGCACAGCGAGGTTGAAGTGACTTCTTCAAGCTCACTAAGCAACCATAAAACCCAAAAATATCTCTTGTGAATTATTTAGTAGTTCATTAGGAAGAATAAATCTAGAGCCCTGGTAGACACCTGTACCAAACCCCTCTTTGCACTGCACTGGCAGAGAGGAGCACTCAACCAGCCTGTGCACAAATAAAACAAAAATGATCCACAGCCCAAAATAAGGCAGAGCAGCACATCCCTGTTTGGCTTTTGGGGCTTTCTGTGTGGTTAATAGAGGATTTCACCACAAACCCAGCGAGGTCTGGGCAGGTTCAGTGTTGGGAGCAGTTTGATCTGTCAGCTGAGCAGATCTCAGGTTGCTCCGTGCTTTTGACAAGATCAGGTATTCAGTGTTTTCTTTTGTTTGGGAGCAAACCCTGTGTGCTTGAAATGCAGATTTTCAAGGGCACCTCTCCCAGGGAGTCTGAGGAAAGTTGGATTGTTGAAGAAAAAAGTTTCATGCTCCTCCTGTATCTCTGGAAGAAGGAGAGTGTCCCCTGTCATAAGCCCAAACCAAAGTTAATTACTGTGGTTAGAGAATAGTTTTGGGAAATAATTATTTGTGCAGATTTATTTTGAAGAGAAGGTGAAATAAAAGGAAATTATTTAGGAGAGGAAATGCTTTCTCAGTCTCTCCTAGCTATACTTTTAGCTAAATGTGGGCTAATTTCACTTCAGTAAAGGGAGCCTAACAGAATTTGTATCATAAAATTAAGACACCAAATATTAATTCGCCCCACTGCAGATAGCTTCAAAGATCCCCAAGCTGAGGCAGGTGCCAAAGTCTTTGGAAGTTATTGGGAAATTTGCACTATACTCTCTTCCAAACAGGCAGGAAGCACAAGGCTGATCTCAGCTTGGTGGAAAAATTAGTGGGGGAAATGAAGTGGCTGTGGAATGAGTGATTTGTTGGAGGCTGAACAGGTCACTGTTAAATCTGAAAGGTTGACACTTCTCAGCACCTCACTTCAATTTGCACTTCCATTTTGATTGTTGATAATTTTTCCAGAGGTTGCTTCCTTACGGGGTCTGAAATCCAGCTCTGCCAAAGGGATTTGACAGATATAATTCATGTGTTGGAGTGAAGGGCTCAGAACTGACACCTCCTGATGGCTTCCCCACCACAGGAGAGTCTGCAGGCACCCAGTCCAGCAGTGCCAGCTCTTTTAATCATTCCAAAGCAAAGCATTAATGACTAAAACCATTTTTATTGTACTGTACAGTGAAGACATGCAAGTTGAACATCACACAGGATGAATACATCACAACTTTATAAAAGCTTTTTAAGCTCCTTAGCATGCTCAGTGGATGATTATAAAGTACTTATTGCCTCCCTTCCTCCCCCTTTTCCTTAAGGTATAGCAGAGGTATTTCCTTTACAAAAGGCACCAATTATCCCTCAAATGAGAGCAGCACAAAGTGACATGAAGAGAATTGTCCCTAGAGCTCTCTGTGATCATCACAACTTTCAGTAAGAAGGATGCTAAAAATAGCAGAGGAGCTTCAGAAGAATCAGCATTTCTTAATAACATCTTTCACTCAAAAGGGAAAGGCTCAATGCTCTCTTTATGATACAAAATACATTCTCCAAAGGGCTCCTTCTTGAGGAAGGTCAGTACATTATCTAGAGACAATGGAGCACTTGAACCTGTGACCCAGGCAGTCAGCAGAAAGATTTCAACTGACAGCCACAGGCTCAGGAGCCTGTGATGGAAACCAAAGGTCATTTGCTCTCTAAATCACCACAGAACTTGGTCCTGTCTTTGGCCAGGAGCCACCAATAAAAGCAACAAATTTGCTGCAAGATATACCCAGAGTCCTTCACTATGAAGGGAAAACACCCAGTGACCCTCATTTCTGGTGACAGAAAAACAATAACGGCCCCCTCCTCCCACCTTTGGAAAACAATGTTTCCTACTTCAAAGAGGAACTAAAAAACCACAGGTCCCTCTAGTTTTTGTAGCAAAACGTGGGAATCAAGTTCAGCAGGTCTACCAGGGTCTCCAGATGGTCGGAGCAGCAGCCACACTCTTCTGGGCAGGCTGTTTTCTGGGAAACACGCAGGGAGACAGGGGGGAGCCACGCAGAGCTGGAGGGTACGAGGCATCTGCACCCAGCTGAGCCTTGCAGAAGTGCTTGATCAGCTGGACCTGGGTCTCCTTCTTGGGCTCGTGGTAGGACAGAAAGTGCATCGCTTCCTTGAGGCACCGCAGGTACCCGCTGTTAAAGTCCTGCTCTGGGTTTTTGTGGATGAATGCTGAAAGAGAAAGAAAAGCAAATGCAGTGGGTTAAAATCGTGATCAAAACATGGGGCAGTGGTGATTTGTGCAGTGACTCTCATGTGCCTGGGGCCGGGGTGCTCCAGCCCTTGCTCGCCTCGGGGTGTCTGGGAGGGCACAGCCCAGGGAGCAGGTCCAGGTGTGCAATACCTGCTCTGCACTCACTTTTTTGGTCCTGTAGCTGGCTCTGCTGCTTCAGGTAACTGACAGCCACTTCTAGGATGTCAGCTTTCTCCAGCTTGGAGTTGGGCTGGTGCCTCTGGAACTCCTTCTCCAGGAGCAGTTTCAGCTGCTCGATGCTGCTGTTAATCCGGTCCCGGCGCATTTTCTCCACCACCGGCTTCCTCAGCTGTGAGAGAGGGAGCAGATCGTCAGGGATTTGGTGAGACCTGACCAAATTTCCCCTCTGATGCCCTGATACACCCATCTTCAAAGACGCTTTTTTTTGGCAGTAGAGCTGTGTTATGGTGCCTACCCAGTCCCCACTCATTTTAATTTTTAAAAATCTATATAATCCCCCTTATCTCTCTTTAATATATTTGCTCTCTCCCAGACCACTTCCCCCTCTTCTCCCATGTTATATTTATTTACTAGGGGCAGGCCAATCTTTCCAATCCCCTCCAGGGCTCTACTTACTTTATTCTTTTCCTTTGGCAGCAGCTTCTCCTCCATGTGGATCATGAGAGCATTGCTGGGAGCCATTCCGAGCGCTCAGCCCTGGGCACAGACCCCAGGCAGCTGCTGTGAGGAGATGCTCTGGCAGCTCCCAAGTGCCTCTATTTATACCCGGGGAGCCGGGGCAGATACGTGAGTGTCGGGATCGCCGGTGTTTCCCACAGCCCCGCAGCCAATCCAGGCCCGCAGCGGGACAATAGAGGAAGCATCCATTAGTGCATGGAACATTGATTGCCAATGCCCCGGGGAGAATAACCTTCTGCCCACGCTGCTGGTGGAGTGTGCGGCGTGGGGAGCTGGGAAAGCACCGACCCTCCAGCTGGCTGGGCTGGGCTCAATGGCATTCCTGAGCCTCGCATGTGCCAGGCACTGTGGTGGCGTGGAGGAGGCACGCTTCTGGGAGAAGGTGGGAAAGGGAGGGAAGCCCTGCTAGAGTTCAAATCAACAGCCCCAGGGACATCTCTGCCCATCCCAGAGTCTGGAGGAACTCTGTGTGTGTGTGTGTGTGTGTGTGTGTGTGTGTGTGTGTGTGTGTGTGTGTGCGTGTGGGTCCATCCTGTCATTGCACTTTAATGGGTGACCCCAAGTGTGACCACAGGTTTCTTTGTAGGGCATTTATAAATGCTTGGTGGATCAACAGTGAAAGTAACTAGAGGATTGTAACCCCATTTTCTCTCTTCCCCATAACACACCAGGGTCTGTGAGCCCGTTGCACCACAGTTCCCATTGTCACCACTAAGCACAGCCCACACTTCCCAGCAGAGCTGGGCCATGCAGAGTCACCCCTGTAGCTCTTGCTGTTCCTTTTTCTCATCTATTCCATACAGACATTTTCAGGAATGATATTTAAGAGGGGCTAAAGGATAGCATGAGGCTCAACCCAGAATCCTGGGAAGTCCTGGGAAACCAGAGGTGGGCCAGGAATGGGATTTTGCAGCCGAGGCCCATTTTGGCCCCCAGTCAGGTCAGTTCTGCTGCTTGCTGAGGTTTCAGGCGTGCTTGGTTCTGACCTGGCCTTGCTGCAGCCTGGCCCTGGCGAGTGTTCTGAATGTCAGATCTCAGACACCATGTACCTGACTCACTGTGCAACCTTCAGCATGTCATCCCCACTCTGTTTTTTATCTGGAAAATATGCTTCTTGCTTGTATCTGCATGGAAACACCAGAATGAATTAAGCAACCATTTATTTTGTGATATTTATTTATTTTGTGATAAAGGCCAGAAAAAGAACGAAGCTGTGAGGGCACTGGAGGTCAGTTCTAGTTTTGTATTGTGAGTAAAATATATGCTTGGGTACAGCCCTTGAGGCAGCACCACAAATAACCCAGAAGCTGCCTGGGGAAAGCTGTGCTGCATCCTGCCATGTGTGGGTCCAGCCCGGGGTGCCCCAGGCAGAGGTGTGCTCCTCCTCCGAGCATCTGGGCATGGCAAGGGAGGAGGGAAGTGTGCAGTGAGATAAGAAAGCCAAAGAATTTCTTGCTTGGAAATGCTGCAATGAAGCCCGGGGGTAATGGGCAGTTGACAGGAAGGAGGGAGGTGTCGCTGCTGTGGGACTCTTTGTAGCAGCCTGAATGGACCCAGCTCTTTGTGAAGGGCAGATGTTGTCCTTGGAGCCCTTTATTCCCTGCCTTGTGGGAAAGCCAGGAGACAAGACATCTCATGAACGCTTTGAAGCAGGCAAAGGATTATGATACAAAATAAGACACAGCTCAGAGACCAAGCCTCAGCTTCTGCCAGCTTTAATGAGGTGTTGCCTGTTTTCCTGTGTTCTCTGGCTGGCCTTTCTCCAGGAGCTGGTATCCTGGGCTATCCCTTTCCTAGCAGGGGAGCCATGCTGGCAGACAGGTAGGCATGGACCAAGCTGGTTGAAGACTCTTCAGTGTCAAAAAACATCTTTTTCCCAACTCCTGAGAAGCCCTGACCTTTATTGCTGTATTAGAACTGATAGCCAGATGGTCTTTTGGGAGTTGGATTCTTTCCCTTTAAATCATTCAGGCTCAAGCACCGTCACTAATGTCGGGAGTAGTTGCAAGGCACACTTCTATTGTCCCAGCAAGAAATGTTATCAATGGGGGAAGAGTATGGGAAAGGCAGAGAAATCCAAACCCACACAGCCTGGCGCTAATAACCCCTTTGTGGAGCTGTGCTTCTGTTGGGGCACCATGAACTCTGTGGCTTTTTCACCCAGGAAAGCCGAAATGGGCACGTTTCACTATCCAGGAGCTTCTCCAGGATCCGGTGCACAGGGAGAAAGGGGTGACAAGGGCAGGGACACGGGTTCGTGCAGGGGTGGCTGCAGGAATGCTGAGCTGAGCTGCAGCTTAGGCTATCCTGGGGCTCTGGTTTATTCTACTGTGCCTCAGTTTGCTCTTGTGGGAAATGGGAGAGTGGTGCTGAGCTCTTCCACAGAGCCCTCTTGGAAGTGGGAGCTGCCCTGTGCCGGTGACAAGAGGCTGGAATTGGGCTCCTGTGGACTGTGTGCTTTTCTGGCATCACCTGGAGCACCTCAGGGAGCAGAGTGGAGGAGCAGCAGTGCTGGGGTGCCGAGAGGGCCTCTTCTCCCTGTCTATTGGGAGCAGTGCTGGGAAAGCTGTTTTACCCAGGGAGATGGAGGGAGTCAGGGTCAAGGCAGATCTCAGTTTAATGGGGAATGTGGTGGCAGCAATAACACTGCCAGTGTTCCAGGCAGACACACCTGGGTGGGAAATGTTATCTTTGAATGCTATTCAAAATGATGAACCCTGGTAAACTACCGAGTCTGTCTGTCATTGCTGGGTGGACCTGATCTTATGGTTAAAGTTCACAGATTCCAGCACCACAAATCCCTGCAGTGTTAGCACATCCCTTCATCACCCTCATGTTCTCACAACTTCTTCCCTGGAGGTTCTTGGCCAAAGTGTGAAAAAACTGTTTGAGGTGACCCCTAATGATCCTCTAACAGTTCTTAATTGAGGAGCCACTGCTTCCTTTGGTGTCTCAGATGAAGAGCCCAGCCCTAACCCTGCCCCTAACCCTGCCCCTGCCCTTAACCCCAACCCTAGCCCTAATCCTGCCTATCGTGCTCTACTCAGGGTCTTTCAGTTACATGACATCTACACAGAAAATTGTATAAAAATGGTTTGGCTGGAAGGCAATATATAAAGAAATAACCGTGTAAAACTTGCTATTCAGGACTGGCTTCTGTTCCCACAGAGAACTCTGCATGTGAACCGATGGAGTGGGAGTCGAGGGAAATCTGCCTCTTCCAGGGGAAAAGGTTACGTTGTTATTAGAACTGTTGTATGAAATATTCCATTAAATGTCATTAACATGGCATTATCTTGCCTCCTTGAGACATCAGAACCCACTCAAAAAGGGGTCTTAATACTGTAAAGTACATTCTTCACAGATTTAACCTCTTTTAATTAGTTTTTCTTCAGATCCAGAATGTTTAATATACTGCCATTCCCAGGTGCCTGAGTGAAGGAGAGTGGACTTTGATCATTAAGAAACATGTGAGACAACTTGATCTGCATTTTTAGGGTTGTTAGAGGCAAAAGCAGTTTCTATAGCTGCTTGTGTGGTGACCCCCAAGTAGTCATGCCCCAATGACATGGTCCTTCTACAGTGTGTATCACAAATAATTAAAAATTAAGGAGAATTTATTATTTTTCTGCCCAGCTGAAATTCCCACAAGTCACCTCTCGGCATATTCAAGAGTGCACAAGAGGGATTTATTATTTCCTGGTTTATTGACTCTGAAAGGTCTGGGGATTACAGCTGCTTTGCACATGAATAGCTGGAGTGTGTTGTACAAAAGGCATGGTCTGTGGGATAATGGGGTTGGATGTGGGAAAGCGCTGACCCTGGGGGAGAGCAGGCTGGTGCCTGATGGCAGGAATCAATTATGTCTCAAAGGAACACATTGCCCTGGGAGCAGGCTTGGCGGGAGCCACCATGTTTAGTGTTTACCACCCTCCTCCTTCCAAACCCGGAGAAAACATCCACGGGATGGATCCTGTCCTTCTGCTCCTTCCCGGGGCTCACAGAGCTCAGTGCTGAGTTACCAGGGATTTTGGAAATGCTGCTTGTCCCCATCTCTGGGATGGGGCTGAGGGATCTGCCACGTGCTGCCAGCTGGGTTTGAGGTTTCTCCCAAGTGCTCTGGATAGTGCTGAGTTTGCTGGGAGCTCAATGAAAGTCCTCTGGAGCTGCCCATCAGTCACCTCCCCTGCCCTGCCAAGGGAGGGAACAGCCTGTCACTGCCAATGCAGTGGGGGCAGCAAAGAGAAGCTGCTGGGTTCATGCACTTCTGTCATTGTTTGGTTTTGGGTGGGTTTTTTGGGAGACGGTGGCATCCAGCTCTTACAATGTGCTCCGTAACTCTGAGGGTCTGGCAGTGCTGTCAACCTTTCAAATATCAACATTTGGGCTCTGAGGAACCCAGAAATAGGTTGAACATCAGAGAGGTTTAACAAAAACAATTTAATGTTTCCCATAAAAATAAAAGCATTTTGATGGATTTTATTTTTTTTTTTTTACGGAGCATTTGGACTTTGGATTGATAGAATTAATTTTCTCTCTTTATAGAATTATGAGGCTTGGACGTGAAGTCCTGCTGAAGGCTCTAAGTATTATGGGTCTCCTGATAGAAGTCACAAGACTCAGCAAACAGTGCTGCCAAGCTTTTGGCAGGGAGCAGGTATCCTGCAGAGAGGATATTTCAGCAGAGCAGGCTGGGAATAGGGAATGTGGCTCCTGAAGTCTGGCCCCAGCAACCACTTACTGTCACTAACGAGAGGGGAATGGTGTGTCCGTGCCAGACAGGAGGGCAGGATCCTGACAGGAGCAGCAATTAATCCCATCTGCATGGGGCAGATATTTAATCACTCAGAAGCTGAGTGTCCCCTGAGCCTCCTTTGATTTTCCCTGCCTTGGGAACAAGTCTATAACCTGAAGCTGACTCCCTCTTATATCCCAGTGGATTGCTCCCCTTCCCTTGAGCTCAGCCTGAGTTTTGAGGTGAGTTTTGGGATGAGTTTTGGGGTGTAAGCTCAAACTGGAACCCATTTTCTTGTGCTTGGCAGCCTTCAGTCA